TAAATTAAACTACATTCTTGGTCCATATACTATGCCTAGAATTTGAATTCAATCCCTCAAAATACTAATAATGCTAAACTTTTTATTTTCATGATACTAGTGGCCCAGTAAATTAACACTGTTAAATGAACTAAATAAGTTTCGTTAAATCAGAKATARCAATTTTATACCAAATCAAACCAGTYAACATATATATCATTCATACCAATTACAACCCGTTGATAGAATCATACAAGTATACAATCTTGACTGATACACGATATTGAAAGTCGAATATCTTGTGGTAATACTGGAATATTAACTTATTAATTATTTATTAATTAATAATAGAACATGTGTTCTTGATTTTTAAGTTTGAATTTAAAAGTTTTGGACATTACGTTTTATATCCGTTTTCTTCTTACTTAAAGTTGAATCTCAATCTAACTCTAAATTACTAAATTGATGCCATCCCTCGTCATCCCTCCCTCATACAACTAACTCCCTTCAATTAGTACCAACACGTACTAATTTTCGTCTTTTTGGTGTATTAATATTAAGTATTATTATTTTTAATTTCTTTTATTAAGTATTTGTTTGCGAGTTTTATTCGTTGCAATTAAAAAACCATTAAACATGATGTGTGTTAGTCTTTAACCGGCAAACTCAAAATTTAAACAAAATGATAAGTTTTTATGTATGTAACTTGAAGTTGGTACAAAATCAGTATCAATTGCAAAAAGTTAGTACAAGTACGACTCATTCATATACGGTATAAAAATTTATGTATCAATTATAATTATCTTAGACAACATGACCAGCACGTAGTGGACTACCATCACAAAGATGACGAACTACCGTTCTAGTGACACATAGATCCAAGAGTCGCTTATGGAGGGTGCATAGAAGAAGAGTAGGTCGATGAACATGTCGGTTGTGCATACTAACACATATGATTTCTTATTCAACAAGGAATTGGGGATTTTCCACACCAACATAACTAATATTTTATATAATATCTTTATGCATATAT